AACAAAGGCCATAAAAAGAGACACAGAAGGACACTTCATCATACTCAAAGGAAGAATCTATCAAGAAGACATAAACATTGTAAACCTATATGCACCCAAAAGAGGAGCACCCAAATATATAAGGAAAACATATTGACTTGGAGGACTTCAAGAAAGAGATAGACAGTAACACACTGATAGTAGGGGATTTTAACACCCCACTTTCAAGAATAGATAGAACTTCCAAACAAAATATCAACAAGGATATTGGAACTGAAAGATGCATTATATCAAGTGGACTTAACTGATATATATAGAACCTTTCATCCAAAAGAAGCAAAATAAACATCCTTTTTTAAAAAATTAATTTATTTTTTCAAATACATTTGTCTCTGCCTACCCCCCACTACTTGCCCTTGCCCCCTCCCTCCCTTCCTCCCTCCCTCCCTCAACTCTTCCCCTTTGGTTTTGTCCATGAGTCCTTGCTATATGAAAATAAACATCCTTTTCAAATGCACATGGAACATTTTCAACGATAGACCACATGATAGGACACAAAACAAGCCTCAACAAATTCAGGAAAACTGAAGTAATAACAAACATTTTCTTGTACCACAAGGGCTTGAAACTAGAAACCAAGCTCAAGGAAAAAACTCAAAAACATTCAAATTGTTGGAGACTGAATAGCATGCTATTAAACAGTGAACAGGTCAATAATGAGATCAAAGAAGAAATCAAAAAGTTTCTGGAAACAAATGAATATGAACACACAACAGTCCCAACAGTGTATGGGACACAGTGAAGGCAATCCTGAGAGGGAAGTACATAGCAATACAGGCCTACCTAAAAAGGATAGAAACATTTCAAATAAACGATCTAACCCTACAAGTTCAAGTCAGGAGAAACAACAACAAACAAAGCCCAGAGCGAGTAGAAGGAAGGAAATGCTAAAGATCAGAGCAGAACTGAATGACATAGAGACTGCAAGAACAATTCAAAGGATCAGCAAATCCAGGAACTGGTTCTTTGGAAAGATAAACAAATTCAACAAGCCTCTAAGCAGACATATGAAGAACAAAAGGGAGAGGACCCAAGTAAATAATATCAGAAATGAAAGAGGAGAAATAACAACTAACACTACAGACACAAAGAATCATAAGAAATTACTATGAACAATTCTATGCCAAGAAATGTGAAAACCTTGATGAAATGGACAAATTTCTAGAAAAGTATAACCTTCCAACACTGAATGAAGAAGCAGCAGGAAGCCTGAACAAACCGATTAAGAGCTGATGAAATTGAAGCAGTAATCAAAAAACTCCAGGTACACAAAAGCCCTGGACTGGACATTTTCACAAGAGAATTTTACAAAACATTTAAGGAAGAGCTAACCCCTGTCCTTTTCAGGCTATTCCAAAAAATCCAAGAAGAGGGAAGACTCCCAAACTCTTCTTATGAGGCCAGCACCATCCTAATCCCAAAACCAGATAAAGACACAACAAAGAAAAAAACTGCAGGTCAATATCACTGATGAACATAGACGCTGCAATCCTCAACAAAATATTGGCAAACTGCATCTAGCAATACATGAAAAAGATCATCCACCATGATCAAGTGGGATTCACACCAGGGATGCAAGGATGGTTCAGTATTTGCAAAATAAACGTAATACATCACATAACAAAAGGAAAGATAAAAACTACACGATCTTATCAATAAATGTGGAAAAAGCTTTTGATGAGGTATAGCATCCACGTATGATAAAAGTACTCAGTAAAGTGGGAATAAAGGGTGCATATCTCAACATAATAAAGGCCATATATGAAAAACCTACAGCTAACATCATACTCAATGCGCAAATACTACAAGCTTTTCCATTAAGATCAGGAGCAAGCCAAGGTTGTCCACTTTCACCACTTCTATTCAACATAGTATTGGAAGTCCTAGCCACAGAGATCAGACAAGAAAAAGAAATAAAAGGCATCCAAACAGGAAATGATGAAGTAAAACTATCATTGTTTGCAGATGACATGATAGTGTACATATAAAACCCCACAGACTCCACTAAAAAACTATTCGATGTAATAAGTAAATTTGGCAAAACAGCAGGATACAAAGTGAATATTCAGAAATCAAAGGAATTTTTATACCAACAATGAAATATCAGAGCCAGAAATCAGGGAAAAGAAATCCTATTTGCTATAGCAACAAGAAAAATAAATTACCTAGGAATAAACTCCACCAAGGAGGTAAAAGATCTGTACGCAGAAAACTATACAACACTGAAGAAAGAAATTAAGGAATACACAATAAATGGAAGCATATATCGTGTTCATGAATTGGAAGAATTAACATCATCAAAGTATCCATACTACCCAAAGCAATTTATAGATTCAATGCAATCTCTATTAAAACACCAATGATTCATCTCACAGATATAGAACAAACATTTCAAGAGTTTATATAGGCGCATAAACGACCCTGAATAGCTACAGAAATTTTGAGAAAGAAAAACAAAGTAAGAGGGATCAGAATACCTGACATCAAACTATATTATAAGGCCACTGTAATCAAAACAGTCTGGTACTGGCGTAAGAACAGACACATAGATCAATGGAACAGAATAGAGAGCCAAGAAATAAACTCATGCCTCTATGGTCAATTAATATTTGACAAAGGGGGCAGAAGCATAAATTGGACTAAAAATAGCCTCTTCAACAAATGGTGCGTAAAACTGGACAGCTACATGTAAAATATTGACATTCAACCACCAACTGACACCATACGCAAAAATAAACTCAAGATGGATAAAAGGCTTAAATATAAGTTGCGACACCATAAAAGTCTTAGAGGAGAACACAGGCAGAAAAATCTCAGATATTCCACACAACAATATTTTCAGATATGTCCCCTAGAGCAAGGGACATAAAGGAAAGAAAAAAGAAATGGGACTTCATCAAAATAAGAAGCTTCTTCATGGCTAAAGAAAACATCAGCAAAATGAAAAGGGAAAATATATTTGCCAATGATACTTCAGATAAGGGTTGATCTCCAGAATATATAAAGAACTCACATTACTCCACTCCAAGAAGACAAACAATCCAATTAAAGAATGGGCAAAGGACCTGAACAGACACTTTTCCAAGGAGGACATACACAGGGCCCAGAGACATATGAAAGGACACTCAGCATCACTAGCCATTACAGATATGTAAATTCTAACCACAATGAGATACCACTTCACACTCGTCAAAATGGCCATCATAAACATACCAAGAAACAATAAGTGCTGGTGAGGTTGTCGAGTAAAGGGAACCCTAGTACACTGTTAATAGGAATGCAGACTGGTGCAGCCACTGTGGAAGACAGTATGGAATTTCCTCAAAAAGGTAAAAATGGAACTGCCGTTTGACTCAGCAATTCCACTGCTGGGATTATATCCTAAGAATCCCGAAGCACCAATTCAAAAGAACCTATGCACCCCAATGTTCATAGCAGCAGAATTTACAATAGCCAAGTGCTGGAAGCAACCTAAGTGCCCATCAGTAAATGAGCGGATCAAAAAGCTATGGTACATTTACACAACAGAATAGTACACAGAAGAAAGAAAGAAAGAGCTACTATCTTTCGCAACAGCATGGATGGAACTGGAGAACACTATGCTAAGTGAAATAAACCAGGCGGTGAAAGACAAATACCATATGATCTCACCTATAAGTGCAACCTAATCAACAAAACAAACAAGCAAGAAAAACATAACCAGCAACATTGAAAGAAACAAACCAATAGTAAGGAGAGGGGAGGAGGGAGGGGGTTTACAGGGTAAAGAAAGGGAAGGATCAAGTCAAGAAACGTGTGTAAAGGACCCATGGACAAAGCCAAAGTGGGGAAGGATTGAGGGTGGGAGGTGGGGTTGTAGGGGCAGGGGATAGTGGTGGCGGAAAAATAGAGATAAATGTATTTGAACAATAAAAATATTTGTGTTCTTATTTCCATATGTCAGGCGCTATTTCAGGTGTTGAGAATACAGCAGTGAGTATGCAGACCAAAATCTGTTCCTCCATGGATTTTAGTGGACAAAAAGCTACAACATGTCTATAATATCCCTTCAAAATGGTCCAGAGATGTGAATAAAAACCTTAGATTTCAAGAACTCAATTTGCCATTACACAAGAGATGATTAGTTCAAATGTAAGATGAGTTTTTAAAGCTGATTTTAGCAAGATGACTCAAAAATTCAATGAAAGATAAAGGTGGATGTTCGCATGTGGGGAGGTATATATAAGTTAGTTGCCACTGTTGACTAGGTCCCTCAATTGGTACAAAAGGCAGTTACAGAAATTCGGCATTGATTTTCTGCTATTTCACTCACACTTGTTGGTATCCCTTTTCTTCTATTTCTTAAATAATCTTACTTTCAGACTGAGGGCTTAATGCTCAAACACGTTAGGGTTAATGCTGATCCTCCTATGCTAAATATCACTTTATCATTCTTTATTATGGGGTGGGTTAGAGATGGCTATGTCACAGGGAATTCAGAATAGACTAGTAGACTAAGGAGAGATTTCTATGGAAATCATGTTAGTCTCACATACTTATCAGTTCCAGAATCTGCGCAGTGTATCACAGTCTTCTGAGAGCCATCACTGAAAGCCTTCTTTTTATAATATGACTGTTTAGCGGGAACACACAGTGCAATGTATTATAGTACAAAGAAGGCATTGAGGCACCTGCAGCATTGCCTGGTGCCTCTGACTCTGCAGTGGGCATAAGGTTAAAGGGGAAAGAATAGTGAAGAAAGAAGGAACAGACTGTACTGTTGATTATAAGTTAATCACACCTACTGCTGATTTATAAAACTATCTTCTAAAATTTTCATTTCAAAATACTTTGCAAATTCAAATGAAAAAATAACCCCATCTGGCTGGAAGTCTGAGTCTTTGCCTCTCTACAAATTTTGTTTTCAGGAATAAAGACTTTCACTAAAAAAAAGACTATATGAGGAAAGAGAAGTAACTCACCACTCAGCTGCCGGGACTCAGCCAGGCGGCTGGGCTTCAGGGTGAACTGGCATTGCATCTCCCGGGGTAGCTGCTCCATAAGGAAGGGCTCCTGGAGGTTGGAAGGGCTGGCGGAGTCCTTTGATTCCTGTGTCAGGAGTGCAGTGTCTCGAAGATGGCTCATTTTAATTCCGTAGGGATATTCATGTCCTACACAAAGAGAGATCTAAATGTAGATTTGAGGCTGACTGGTACTGCGAGCATGTGTGCTACATACTGGAATGTACTGCAGTTTGCTCCTGGGACTTTTGGTCTAAAGAATCCTTTTGTTGACTGAATGATCACCATGCACAGCTGGAGACCACTGCACAATGCAGGTGGCCCTACCAGAGTAATTTTAGGGGTGGAGGAGAGGAGGGGAAAGCCAATCTTTTAAGAATATCTTATTTGGAATGCACGGATTGGTTTGCACAATGGTGATGTTTCTTATGTTCGCATCTAAGAATATTTAAAGGTATTCCAGTTTTTGCATTTATATTAACTATATCTGTAAATCTTTACCAAATTCTTGACCCCTCTCAGCCTTAAATCAATGACTTAAAATATTTGCCTTACCCATTACACAGAATTATAAGGATCAAATAAGTAAGTGTTAGTGGTTAATATAACCTAAATAATAAGGGCAAAGTACTATATATTTCAAGCATTAGTAATTAATATTATCCAACACAAGATGTCTGTATGAAAAAGACATTTCACTACTTTTTATTAGTTATATAATCAGGGTTACTCAAGAGCATCAGGACTGGTAGGTTTGATTTATGCTCCCCTCCCACTGCTGCCCACTGGGATAGGTGTTCATAGGCAGCAATCAGAAGAAAGATTGCAGGGTATTAGAAACAGAAACAAGATGCAATAACAAGTCTGTAAACTAGGAAAACTAAACCCTGGACGTCTGACTTAAATATGAATTTTTGCTCATTAGCATTCTAAGGTGCCCTCTATTCCTGATTTATCGCTGAGTGTAACTTAGTGAACTCTCCCTTTTCCTTTTTATATGACATAGACACACCATATCAATGTTCCGTTAATATCATGTAATCCAGGGATTAAGGCAAAAAAAAAAAAAGGAGGGGGGACTACTATGACAGCAATAAAACAAACTTAGTTTATCAAAATAGCAGCAGCTAATCCACACCTGAAGTCTGCAAAGCACAATAAAATATACAATGCAGAACTGTTGTTAAATAATGATCATGTTCTATGTTTCATGGTGTTTTAGTGACAGTGATAAAGCTTGAAGCTGTTTTAAGTGTGAAAGTTACCATCTACATTCATTTAATTAAATCAACATATTTTATTCAAATTTATTTTAGGTATTTATTTGATTTTTAAGCATAACTTTAATTGTGGTTCACCGACTTTCACAAAAATGATACAATTAAAAAAAGCAAGCACTGCAGTTGAGTTTTGTCCCCAGCTGTGTGTATGAAGGACTTGCTTTATGTCTGAGAGTAATCTAAAACAAAACTTGCAAAAAGTTTGGTTTAGTAGAGAAGTTTGGTTTTAGATTATTTAGATCACTTGAAACATTCTGAATTACACAATATTGACCTCATAGGTAAATGAAAGGACTGGATGAGATAATGCAAATGATACATTTTAAATAACGTCTAGCAGAAAGTAAGCATTTCAAAATTAACAAAAATTGTCCATCATCATCATCATCATCTCAAGATCTGCTACAGACACTGTCCCTCATTTTAATTGCTCAATTTTTTTAAACCACACTGAATGACCTTAACTGATCAAAAAATTTTTTTTGGAGATTAATCTATTTGCCAATAATTCCTCAAAACAAATGCTGACAAGTTTGGCTACAGAAATGGCAATGTAAAAAGTATTAGCTAGTTGGAGAAGATTCTTTGGAATCTAAATAGGTTAATCTCATTTTCTTTATGACTCCAGTAAAGTTCTTTAGGATTAAGAGGCATAATCAGACTTTAGATGGTTTTCTGTAGAGCCAACTTAATAGGTAGAAAAGGGAGCAGGGAATCCAAAAACCCAATATAACAAATAAAAATATAGCAGAAGAGGATACCAAATACATATTGCATTCTTGTAGAAAAAAACTTAACATGGTTTGGCAAGACAGTGCTCTCTTTGTCTCTCTCCGTAAAGTGTAAGAGAGGAAAATTTACATTTCTCTTCCCAACTATAACACTAGCTGTTTGAGTGAAGACATACTATTTGTCTAGCACATAGGAAATGCTTGATAGATATTTATTGAATGAATAAATGAATTTTATATGAGATTTAATATTTAATAGTATCAAACATAGGACCATATGACCAGTTCTCTGAGACATTTAGAATTATAATTAAAATGCAATCAAGTTTATCTTAGATCTTCACAGAAACTTACCGATAAGTGGATACGGTGCCTCTTCTTTGCCAGAATTGACCCATAACTGGTAATCTCTCTCAGAGCCCTTGGGAATAAAAGAATTAGCACTAATTCTTTAATGTTTACTAATGGAATGAAGATAAATTTTTGGCATTTTTATGCTTTGCCAAAAAATATGGGAACAATACAAATACCTTCAGATTCAAGGAAGTGGTTATAGTTTTTAAAGATGACAGTGCTGATTCCTACAACCCTTCTCTTCTCTCTCCAGTCCCAACAGAGTACTCAGGAATCCTGCCCTCTTTTTCCTAGTGAGGGCTGGGAATCGAAGTACTGCAATGGAATCAGAACCTCACTATTATGGGTAGCCCATGGAATGTGCAATCACAAAGGGAGAGAAACTTCCTGGTTTTCTAAAAGACTAACTTTGTCTTTAAAGTCCTGACTTCTGATAAGTCTCCATACTTCTCAGAGAATACTGGACTTAATCTCCAGCATGCCCCTGCAAAGACAACCTTGTCATCCAGTACCACAAATACTGTTGTGTGTAATGAAAAACTAAACCTCTCTAAGGCTCACTATTAGCTCAGCTGCTTCTGAGCAGGAGAACAACCAAGAGGCTTTGAGGACACAGGTAGCTGGCAGTCTACACTGGCTTTATTTTGGGCAAGTTCAGTCCTATGGATTGAAAGGACAAGAATTTTGTCTAGAGAATAGGCCCAGTGATGGAAAACAAAGGAATTGTTTACTAGAAGAATTACTAGCAATACTCAAAATCCTACTTCAAAGAAATAACACTAATTTATACAAACTTTACTATATCTTCTAGGAGAGAAAAAAACCAAAAATGTTTTACATGAAGCCAAAACAGATCAGCAATATTAATAGTCTTGATTTTACCTTCTGATTAAAAATCATGGCCCTGACCTCATAATGAAGGGTAGCAGCTAGGGAGAGTACCATTCCCCACCCCTTCCCCAGTCAATCTGTCATTTCCTTCCTCATTCCCTAATCAAGAAACTGTATTGCAAATAGAAAGAACAATCTAATAAAAATCCTTTCTTTTTCTGGTAGTATCTAAAAACATTGTAATAATCTCTTAGAACAGTAAAAGTCATTACACTGAATGGAGATATTTTTGGTCTGAGGAGATGAATCCCTTTATCCAAAGGAAAAGCATAAAAAAGAAAATGAGTTGTCTTAATTAATCTCCCTTCCTTCCCCTAAAAAACTAATCACTGTCTTCTAAGACATAATTATATAAGCTTAGAAGTCAATGCAGAGGTGTCTTCTTTATTCAATACATATACACTTAATTAAATTTTGAATATATTATTAAATGTAATGAACAAAAATCAAATTTCTTATCCTAAGTTTTGGTTGACCTGAGTTTTTAAAGGCTTTCTATGGTATTGTGTAAAAGCAAATCTAATCACAGTAAGAATCTGGCACATATTAACCATATGTCATATGTCACCTTGTAGTAATACCGTGTTCTCATAGAGAATCTCACTCAAGGAACAGTGTTGGTCAAGTGCTTCCTTTAGTTTTTACTCCTGAAAGTCACTCCCTTTAATACAAGTGTCCACTGTTTGATGTTTATATACCGGCAGGGAGGAGATGAGAACTTTCCAATTATCTTTCCCCTGCCTCATCCTCCAATATTCCAACCTTTCCTATTAATAACATTTCAAAAACTTGTATTTGTCCCATAAAACAGAAAGAAAAAAAAGCAAAATAGTGGAAAATGTAATGGGCATACTAAAGCTCTTTAAATCCATGATCTAATTCACAGCTTGTTTTTTAATTAACTAATTCATTAGAGGTACCAGCCATCCCAACCTCTGGACCTGCAGTCAGTGAATATGGTCTCTAGCTGTGCTTTTATGTAAAAATTCTACTACAGAGAAAATCCTTCAGAATTCTTCACCCTAAGGCTTATTAAATCTTGGGATAATAAAAATAGTTAGGTAAGGGAGAAGAATCAGGAATGGATATGGGGAAAGAAGAGTAATACAGTGACAAGTGGGAAAGCAGAAGGTTCAAACTTTCTCATTAAGTTACCTTATATCAAAAGCCTCCCCAACTGTTTATGTATATAGCATATGCAATAAATACATTTTTTTATTAGCACTCTAAAATGGGAGTAGAAGAATAGCACGCAGTATCAAGCTATAGTAAGGCTTTACTGTCCTTATTTTCTACATTTTGGGGGACAAAATATGACTTGCATCTCTAATAATTAGCTGTCTTATGATGGAAAGGATAATATTTATATGAATCAAAAGTACCAAAGTGTGGTAATTAAGAATATCTAGCAGGGTCACTTACAGTTATCCCTAGCATTGGTAGAGACATGTTGATAACTTCATTTGCTGTATCTGAATTCGTTATTGTTATAGTTTTAGACTGTAGAAAAAAAAGAAACAAGAAATACAGTTTTAAATAAAGGATTTTAAAACAGGTAAACAAATAATTATTGTGAAATGCTTATCTAAAGGAAAATCTTGATTTCAAGTGTTGATAAAGCATATAACTTAATTAGAACACAAACCCTTGATTATAATTTACTTGTATTCCATTACATATTATGCCATTTAATAAAATATCTTCTGGTGTTTTTCTTAAAAACAGAATATGTGGCTCATAACTCTGAGACTGTAGTGAAAAAGAAACAGTAAATATATTTCAGAGAAAATACATGGACCACCTTCGCAACCAAAAAGAAATCAATGAAGTTAGCCTTCTGTGTTATTTTCATTATTGTAGCCCATAGTGCCATGTGTAATAAAAGAAGGAGAGAGCTGGATCACTTTATATTTCTTCCTGAGTACTGCTTTCACAGGGTGGATTCTTATTTCTTTGCATGGTAAAAGGTCAGTTAAGGTAAAAGAAGAATAAGAACTGGTTATTAAAGACATTTAAAGTTTAGAATTTTTAAAAACCACTATTTATTGAACACTTTCTATATGTCAGGCACTGTCGGTGGCTACAGAGATTTTCATTGTTGAAATCTATGGAGGCCTTAAAACCAACAGGTCTAGCAAAAAGGACTGAAAATTTTAGAAAGCTCAATTCTGTTAACAATTTGGCCTTTGAACAGGGTTATCTATAATAGCCCTGTGATAAGCTACATTGAGAAAATACTACTTCAAAATAGAAAAACAGTTTGAAACAAACAATAAGAAATGACAAGAGTCAGAGATAGCTTTAGTTATTGATTTCCAAGACATTGTTTAACACAGTGCTATACTATCAAAAAAGAAATATTTACTATGCACATATATTTTACATATTATAATTATCAGATAAATCAGGAATTAAGGCTGTGTCCCTAATAGGGCTTAAATGGCACAATATAGGTAACATAAATGAAAACAAATTTATATGTAACCAAAAATGATATAAAAATAAAGTTAAGTGAAATCCACTGATAATTCATCACTTTTCCCTCCATAATGGCAGTATGTTTTCCTCTTTGAACCACTTGACATAACAAATTACTTCTAAAGGTTGTTTTGTTTATTGATTTCAAATTGCACTCCATGTAGCTCCAATATTTATGCAAAAGTGTTTCAGAACCTAACAGGGAGGGCTTAGGGGCATCCAACCCAGTATATGTCTTTTACCAGAAGTGGTAAAGATGTTTTATATATTGGGTTTTACCCCAACATATAGTTTCATGAAAGCCTTCTGATTCTTTTTTTTTTTTTAAGTTTCTAAATCCATTTAAAGAAATTATCTCATGAAGTGAGGAATTTATCCTGTAATACTTAATAATCATTCCCAAAGTACCGGTTTCTAATAAAGTTTTTCTTAATATTAAGCACATATGTTCAAAATGCTAATTATAGGATGTGTATTTTTCCATGCATGCCTCTCTGGTAGACAAAACAAATGAATTTCATCAGATAGTGCCCTCTGGCTAGTAAACAAATAAAAAACAGACAAAACTGAAAATGTGGCTAATTTTTTCCATATTAGTAGAATTCACTGACAGGTTATATAATTAAAAGCCAAGGATAAAGAATGCTTTCCATACATGCACTCCTATTTGGTGGGAATCACTCTTTCTGGAAGCAGGGCTCCCTGAAAGGAGGCTCTTGACATGAAGCAACTTCAGACAGCAAAAGGAGGGTGTGTCGTAATATCCTTGACTTAACCAGTGTAGTAGTGATACAAACACAGCACCCAACCATATCACGTGTCTTCTTTTCCAAAATGAGAGTGGAACACCAGTCCTTTCTTAAGCACACAATTTCTATATGCTAAAAGTGTTAAAAAAATTCATGGGATTTTCTATAAAAATCCTGAATATAACCAATTGCCACAACTGAATCAAAGCCAGCAGAAAAAGTTTTTTTCCCCCTACTTTGCTACTTTGCTACAGGAGATCTCTGTAGTCTTTATACCATAAAAATATGAGTATTTCCCTCAAGCAGTAACATCTGGCACTCATGTCAGTACATTTGCCTAACTTCTGCTTTTGGCCCAAACAAAACTGTTTGTATTACATATTTTCCCCCACACAAAACTGTTCTGTGTGATCTAGAGCTGCTGTGAAGTGTGACAATTCAAAATAAAAATAGAAACATTCACAAGTTTCCATTTTGTTCACCATTGATAGTGTCCTGACACGTGTACTATATTTTAGTCATCAAATTACACGTAATAACTAGAATTAAGTAGACAATTTTTATTTAACCTACATGATAAAAACTGTGGTAGAAACATGCTGATCCCTTAAAAATGTCACCTCTCCCAGCTCATCCATTTATTAACCTGAGGAATTCAATCCTCCTAAAAACTCAAAGAATGAAAAACTTTCTAAAACCGCTCTCTATGTAAAAAGTGATAAGTTGGAAAAAATTGCTTAATATTAATAGGAAATATCTCCTTGTGGGAATGGCTTTAGTACAAGCCTCTACAGCTGCTATTGAAAGGATCCAGAGAAACATTAATGCCAGAGGGAAGAAAGAGACATCTGACAAGCAATATTCCTTCCAAGTGCAAATGTTAAATACCGTGGTTAATATGAATTTCTCTGGCTTCATTTTGTCTAGGGTTTACTTTTCATATATACAAAGACATATACATACCCAGGAAAATGTGTTTTACCGCAGTGGTATTCCTAAATGCCTACCTTGCAAAGCACATACACAGTCTGCCTGCCTGTCTGTTTTTTTATCCATGGTGTTTTGCCTTATGCAGGGACTTAGAATTTAATTTTCTGGCTTAGAAACACTTACATAGGCACAATTCCCAATGTCCTTGGCGAAGATTTTGAGGGGAATGCTCTTCGGATAGTCCTTCTCTTTCTCTAGATTGATGTATCTAATCAAATGCAACAACAACCCAAAACAACACTGAGTCAGATGGATTTTGCTAAATGGCTTATTTTTATATCAATCTATTTTGTTAATATTTTCAATATACTTATATGCTATTTTTAAAAAGACAGATGGAAAGACTCAGCAAAGTCAGATTACATTATGGGTTGGAAGAGAAAAAATTCTCAGGACATTAGGCATGGGCACAAAAAAGAATGGGAGATCCATCTCAAGTGTGAGGTTTAAGTACAGTCAGGTTTAGGCACCTCTGGGTGATGGTTTATCCTCAAAGCTTCCCTACCCTCCCTGGACAGGCCCAGCACCTTACTTATGTACAGAAACATGTAATACTTTACTAAATCAAACCGAAATAATGGCCTTTCACTTCTCATTTAGCTCTTCAGTGGAATGCAAATCTTGGTTATCCCATTGCTTGGGAAGGGAGAGAGGAAAGAATGGAGGGAACTACGTGAATAAGAGATGAACCTAAATTGATAATTTTAGTTTGTATGTTCAAAGGTAAGAATATGATTGATTTTTTAAAGGGCTCAACAGAAAACCCTCCATATATGAAAACTTAATACATGCTTTGAGGAAACTGTTAACTCCAAATGGTAGGCTGGAGACAGGAAAAGAGACGACATTACTGACTAATTTTTGTCTAAAATAATCTGACCAGATCTCCACGTTCTCCTTCCTAGACAGTAAGAAATACATATAATAAAAAAACACTATAGTATTTAGCAGCTAGTGCACAGTTGAAATAACAGCTTATTTTGAGGACAAATGAAGAATTTCTATGAAGGAGAAGGGGAATAGTTTGGGGTGTCTACGGAGATGAATTTAAATCATTTAACTACAGGTTAAAGATTGAAAATATGTATACTGAAAAAAATACCTCTGAAGGAGAGAGAGCCATTTGTCCTTTTGTTCTGGGGAACTGCAAATAAAATGGGAGAGAAAATTAAACCACACAAAATACTTATTATGCTAACATATTTAAGTCAATGAAATGTCAACAGTCTATAATTGATGTTGCTGCACATAACTGCAATCTTGGCATAACTGTGTTCCACAGAACCCTGATGTGAAACTCTCTATTATGAAAAACTATACAATCAAGTACAGTTTTGATCTCTTGGATCAAAGAGGTTTCAATAAAAGAAAGACACATTTTCTTACTTTATTACTCTTCTACAAATGGTACTCTTATAATGGAAACAGTACTTGATATGAAATCCAAACATCTGATTTCAAGGATAGATGCAAACTATATGATGATGGGTAAATCTCTTAACCATAATTGTAATTGGGCTGATTATCTCAGAGTGTTTTTGTAGCTGTTATGTACAATACAAATAGAAAGTATGCTTAACTTGAGATTAAGAGGTTAAAGAGAAATTTGGCATATCAATGGCCAAGAAACCAATTTTTTTTTGTCAGGAAAACAAAACTTTATTTCTTCATACATATAGCAGAATTGTAATTTAGTAAATTAGTACATCAAAAATTATTGTTTTTTCTTTAAAAATTTTTTTATTATTTTTACTGTTCAAATACATTTGTCTTCATTTTCCTGCCACCACCTTCCCCTCCCCCCACTCCCTCCCTCAATCCTTCCCCATGTTGGGTTTGTCCATGGGTCCTTTATACATGTTCCTTGACTTGAATCTTCCTCTTCCTTTCCCTGCCACCCCTCTTCCTCCTTCCCCCTTCTGTTGGTTTCTTTTGTCTTTCAATGTTGCTGGTTATATTTTCCTTGCTTGTTTGTTATGTTGATTAGGTTCCACTTATAGGTGAGATCATATGGTCTTTGTCTTTCATCCTCTGGATTATTTCACTTAGCATAATGCTCTCTGGTTCCATCCATGCTATCACGAAGGGTGGTAGCTCTTTTTTCTTTCTGCTGTGTAGTATTCCATTGTGTAAATGTACCACAGTTTTTTGATCCACTCATTTATTGATGGACACTTCGGTTGTTTCTAGTGCTTGGCTATCGTAAATTGTGCTATGAACATTGGGGTGCATAGGTTCTTAACTTATATAAGTCTTTTATCCATCTTGAGTTTATTTTTGTGTATGGTGTTAGTTGGTGGTTGAATTTCAATATTTTGCATGTAGCTGTCCAGCTCTCCCAACACCATTTCTTGAAGAGGCTATTTTTACTCCAATTTATATTTCTGCCCCCTTTGTCACATATTAATTGACCATAGAGTCATGAGTTTATTTCTTGGCTCTCTATTCTGTTCCATTGATCTATGTGTCTGTTCTTATGCCAGTATCAGACTGTTTTGATTACAGTGGCCTTGTAATATAGTTTGATGTCGGATATTGTGATCCCTCCTGCTTTTTCTTTCTCAAAATTGCTGCAGCTATTTGGGGTTGTTTATGCTTCCATATGCATTTTTGAAATGTTTGTTCTATGTCTGTGAAATGCTCATTGGTATTTCAATAGGTTGCATTGAATCTATAAATTGATTTGGGTAGTATGGAAATTTCAATGCTGTTAATTCTTCCAATCCATGAACACAGTATATGCTTCCATTTATTTGTGTCTTCCTTAATTTCTTTCTTCAGTGTTGTATAGTTTTCTGAGTAAAAGTCTTTTGCCTTCTTGGTTAAATTTATTCCTAGGTACTTTATTTTTCTTATTGCTATAGCAAATGGAATTTTTTCCTGATTTCTGCTCTGATATTTCATGTTTGGTGTACTAAAATGCCTTCGATTTCTGAATATTGACTTGGTACCTTGCTGTTTTGCCAAATTTACTCATTTGGTCGAGTAGTTTTTTTTGTGGAACCTATAGGGTTTTCTATGTACACTATGATGTCATCTGCAAACAATGGTAGTTTTACTTCCTCCTTTCCAATTTAGATGCCTCATTTCTTTTTCTTGTCTCATCACTGTGGCAAGAACTTCCAATGCTATGTTGAATAGAAGTGGTGAAAATGGCATCCTTGTCTTGTTCCCAGGCTTAGTGGGAAAGATTTTACCTTTTGCCCATTGAGTATGAGGTTGGCTGTAGGTTTTTCATATATGGCCTTTATTATGTTGAGGTATGCCCCCTATATTCCCACTTTGCTGAATGTTTTTATCATAAATGGGTGCTGTACCTTATCAAACGCTTTTTCCTCATCTTTCGATATGATCATGTTGTTTCTGTCTTTCCTTTTGTTTCTGTGATGTATTACATTTATTGATTTGTGAATATTGAATCATCCTTGCATCACTGGGATGAATTCTACTTAATCATGGTGGATGATCTTTTTCATGTATTGCTGGAGGAAGTTTGCCAATATTTTTTGAGGATTTTAGTGTCTATGTTCATCACTGATATTGGCTTGTAGTTTACTTTCTTTGTTGTGTCTTTATCCAGGTTTGGGATTAGGATGATGCTTGCTTCATAAAAAGAGTTTGGGAGTTTTCTCTCTTCTTGGATTTTTTGGAATAGTCTGAGAAGGACAAGAGTTAGCTCTTCCTTAAATGTTTTGAAAAATTCTCCTGTGAAACCATCTGGTCTAGGGCTTTTGTGCACCAGTTTTTTTGATGACTGCTTCAATTTCACCAGCTGTTATTGGTCTATGCAGGCTTTCTGTTTCTTCATCATTCAGTATTGGATGGTTATACTTTACTAAAAATTTGTCCATTTTTTTCGAGGTTTTGAAATTTCTTGTCATTCAATTGCTGATAGTAATTTCTTATGATCTTTTGTATTTCTATGGTATCAGTTGTTATTTCACCTCTTTCATTTCTGATATTATTTATTTGGGTCCTCTCCCTTTTATTCTTGATGAGTATGCTTAAAGGCTTGTTGATTTTGTTTATCTTTTCAAAGAACTGCTCCTGGATGGGTTGATCCTTTGAATTGTTCTTTTAGTCTCTATGTCATTCAGTTATGCTCTTATCTTATTTCCTTCCATCTACTCACTCTGGGATTCATTTGTTGTTGTGTCTACAGTTCTTGAAGCTGTAGGGTTAGGTCATTTATTTGAAACTTTTTATCTTTTTTAGGTAGACCTGTATTGCTATGAACTTCCCTCTCAGGACTGCCTTCACTGTGTCCCATACACTGTTGGGACTGTTGTGTGTTCATTTTCATTTGTTTCTAGAAACTTTTTGATTTCTTCTTTGATCTAATTATTAACCCATTCATTGTTTAATAGCATGCTATTCAGTGTACATGAGTTTGAATGTTTTTGTTTTTTCCTTGAGGTTGGTTTCTAGTTTCAAGCCTTTGTGGTCCAAGGAAATGCTTGTTGTTATTTCAATTTCCCTGAATTTGTTAAGGCTTGTTTTGTGTCCTATCATGTGGTCTATCTTTGAAAATGTTCCACGTGCACTTGAAAAGAAGGTGTATTTTGCTCCTTTGGGATGAAATGTTCTATATATGTCAGTTAAATCCATTTATTTTAATGCATTGTTCAGTTCCACAGTATCCTTGTTAATGTTTTGTTAGGAAGATCTATCCGTTTTTGACCATAGGGTGTTAAAATCTACCATCAGTGTGTTGCTATCTATATCATTCTTGAAGTCCTCCAAGATTTTCCTTATATGTTTGGGTGGTCCTATGTTGGGTGCATATAGGTTTACAATGTTTATGTTTTCTTCATGGATTATACTTCTGAGTATTAAAAAGTGTGCTTCTGGGTCTCTTTTTATGGCCTTTGTTTTGAAATCTATTTTGTCTGATATAAGTACCACTGCCCCTGCTTTTGTTCCCCTGTCCATTTGCTTGGAATATTTTTTTCCATCCATTTACTTTCAGTCTGTGTAAGTCCTTTGTTCTGAGGTGGGTCTGTTGTAGGCAGCATATGTGTGGGTCACGATTTCTAATCATTCAGCTATCCTGTGTATTTTGATTAGGGTATTTAGTCCATTTACATTTAAAGTTACTATTGATAGGTACTTATTCATTTTTTCCCTTTGTACCTGTGTTTATCTTTTGCTCACTCCTTTTCTTCATCTTCTTAAACAGGTCCGTTTAGCATATCTTGTAGTGATGGTTTGGTGATGTATTCTTTTAGTCTTTTGTCTGGAAAACTCCTTATTTTGCCTTCCATTTTAATTAAGAGCCTTGGTAGGTAGAGTAGTCTTGGTTGCAGGCCTTTGCTTTTCGTGACTTGTAGTATTTCTTGCCATTCCCTTCTGGCTTGCAGTGTTTCTGTTGAGAAGTCAGCTGCTGACCATATGGAGGCTCCCTTGTATGTTACTACCTGTTTCTTCCTTGCTGCCTTTATGATTCTTTGTTTGTCTTTGATATTTGCTATTTTAATTATGAAGTGTCTTGGAGTGGGCCTCATTGGGTTCCTCTTGAATGGGACGCTCTGTGTTTCCTGGACCTGTGTGACTTTTACTCTCCTCCAATTGGGAAAGTTTTCCATCATGACTTTTTCAAACAAGTTCTCTATTCTTTGCTCCTCTTCTCCTTCTGGTATCCCTATTATACTGATATTATTTCATTTCAGGTTATCCTGCATTTCCCTAAGTGCCTCTTTATTCTTTCTGAGTCTTTTTTCATTTTCTTGCTCTTTCTGGAAGCTTTTTTCCACACTGTCCTCCTTCTGCTCCCTGATTTTATCCACTGCTTCATCTAGCCTGCTTTTGATTCCTTCTATTGTGTTCTTCAATTCAGAAATTGTATTCTTCACTTCCTCTTGTCTCTTATTGATAGTTTCTATGTCCTTTTTCATGCTGATATAGTCTGCAGTAAGTTCCTCATAGTTTCTCTGTAGTTTTTCATAATTCTCTTTGAGCTCACTGAGCTCATTGAGCTTCCTTAGAACCACTGTTTGGAACTCAGTATCTGACAGTTTACTTGGCTCTATTTAATTTATTTTTCTTTTTTGTGATTCTTCCTTTCCCTTCAATTGGGGGGTGTTTCTTTTTCTCCCATTATCTGTTAGACTCTTCTTTTTTGCTTCTGCTTAACTTGATATGCCT